TTATTTTTCATGATCATACATTTCGATGTTGAGATGATCAATCAAAGGGTTTTTCAACATTAAAACTACCTTTTCCAATGGATTTTTGAGGTGCATCCGTAGTTCTACATATAAGGTTGCAACCTTATAGAAACTTTTTCCAAAGAAAAACGAAGGAAAACAAGTAAAACTAGGTATAAAACAACAGTGTGCATAATAACATTCAAAGTACTATTTTTTTTTATAAATGACCAAAATGCTTAACTATTTTATCCTATTGAAAATTGGGCCTTACAAGACCAAAATACTTAAAATTTTCATTTTGTATTTTCAATGGTTTTGGGCGCTAATGCTTAAATACTTAAAATTCATTGTATAGAGGATGGGCCTAAATCGCATGTCGTAAGCATTTTAACCCATCGTTCTATTTCATTGTAAATTTCAAATAACTTTTACATTCAAAAGAAATATTTCAAAGAAAGTTATTAGCATGTATTACTATCTATTCTCCTTGAGGAACAATTTAGTCCATTGTTTTGGTCTAATGAATTCCTTTTATAGTTAGAGATTGTTATAAGTTGCTATCAAATATTATATGCTATAGTAAAACAGAAGTCCATAAAAATTTAGTGGGTGTATTTGGTTTCTTCTTTGTGGACAAATTTCCCAAGTCATGCAGAAAGGCAAGGTTTATGGGAGGAGACTTATAAAAGGGGCCGCAAGATGAAACGGGGGTGTCAAAATCAGCTGTGTCCAATAAGGAGGTGGTGGGCCATCCCTCTTTAAAGGAGGGCTTTATGTTATGTACATTAGGAATTGAAATAAAAAAAATAGAAACACAAGTATTGAGGGGGCCGGCCCCACCGCCACATCTCTTTAAATACAAATGAAAAAAAAGTGGCTGGTTTATTTTGGGATGGTACGGCTCATAGACAATCGGATTCCCTATCATAAATAATTCGAGGTTCTTTTTTTTGGTTAATTTTTGTAGAAACTGTAAGGAACCGGTCAAGAACCCGCTATGCGGAGGGGAACAGGCCGGTTTCCGTTATTTTGCGGAACTTGTTCGTCCCCCATGATTCCCGATCCAGATCGGCTGGTTCTGATTTGGTTCCACCTTTTTTCGAACCTTGATTTAAACTGTTTTTTTTAAAACTGTTAACTGTCCTTGCTTTAAACTGTTTGAGTTTCTATATGCATTGTTTCACCTTATAAAGGTGGCTGAAGGATTGTCCTTAGGGTTGGGATGAATTCCCTTTCCTCCACCATGGCTTCTCATTGACCCTCCTCATCCGTATTGTGGCTCATTGCTATGCGTACTCAGTCGCTGAAATAGGTCATGATTATCATAAGTGGTTAGTGGTAGGGGATGTGAGTCAGACATCTGTTGTCTTATTTTGTTAACATCGAGTCATTGACTTTTAAATATTAATGCTAATCACAGGCTCTTGCATTAGTTTTTGTTAGTTGTGACCAATAATATCTGCTTTCCTTACTTGTGTTCAATATTTGAAAGTGCACCTGGCCGATTCAGGACTCGCCCGAGTTGGTTTTTCATCGCGAGTTAGGTGATTCCAAGCTGGAAATCCCTGGTATCGCTTGAGGATTCGGTTTCTTCATAAATTAAAGTTCTTAACCAAAAATTGCCTAGTCTGGCACGGACTCACCGAAGTTGGGCTTGATCAACTCGGTCGTAGGACTATGGAGAGTCAGAGCACTAGACTGAGTCTACTGACTTTTTAGTGACTGCTTGTTTAATGGATTCAGTTACATGTAGCTTGTTATGATCTAGAATATAGTTACCCAAATCGCCTACTAAGGTCGCAATTCTGGTTCGGAATCGTGATTCGGCGTTTCCTAGTAAGAAACTCGATTTTGGAAGAAAGGAATCACGTCTCCAAGTTCGCGAAGCATGATGAATTTAGATTCCTGGAAACCTGGAATCAAGGTTCCATATCGCAAAATTTGTGATTCTTAGCTACACAACAATGCAATTCTATGTGTGCGAGACATTGGTTCCAATTATTTGGGAATTGTGAATCCATGTTGTTTGGAAGCAAGTTCCACATCATTAAAAAGCGCGGTTCGCAAATGCACTGAACAATGTTTCGATGATATTGAATCAAGTTCTAATGACGTGGCTTCAAGATTCAAACACAAATAATGAATGAAATGCATTCACAAATTGTATGTTGCTGGAGAAGCTCCATGAACCCATTCTATGTTACTGGAGGAGTTCCAGGAACCCATTTGTATCATGTTACAATTTTCTACAAGGTTAAAATTAAATACCTATGAGTTGGGTTTTGGGATTGTGATTTTGTGAGAGCCAAAAAAACCTTATAAACGTATGAGATGAATCAATGTACAATAACCTCTGTCAACTTATGAAGCATAAATATTACAAAAAAATTTGTTACTTCAAATTTAATAGTTTTTGGTAAATGTGGTGGGTACTAATGGAATATTGTTTGATGTGATGGGTACTAAGATACCCTATGGTGTTTTAGGTTAAATTAATCTTTAAATATCAGAAATTGATTTAAAATTGAATAACTCAAATTCAAAACTACATTGAATAAATAAGTAGAATTTCTATTTCATTTACTTCTTTTATAATTCCAATAAAGGAGATAGAGGGAGCTCGCCCTTGTTCTCACTAGTCTTATGTCGTAGACCAAGCCAGGGCTCTTGGTAGGCGAAGGGTTGTTGGTGGACTGTGTCCATTGTATGGGATTGTTGACAAAGATATCGTAACAAGGTTGCCATTGGTAATTGGACTAAATATATGTAGACCAAAATTCAATCTTGTAAATAATGATAAAATTTAAATATTTTCTTAATACTTCTCTCCTATATTTGAGGGGATTGGTGCGCGATTCCTGAATGGGGTCTCGATTCTTGAATGGTGAGAATCTTGATTCCAAGTCGATGGGACAACAATTCCAGAAATTTAGGAATCACGATTCCAATATCATTGAATCGCGATTCCAAAAGCCATTGAATGGTGTTGGGTCATGTGCGATCCTGAAAGGTATGAGACTCGATTCCAACATGATGGGACACCGATTCCTACAAATAGGAAACACAATTCGTATTTTACTGGATCGCAATTCTGATATAGTGCGAATCACGATTCAATGTTTTGAATGTACGGACAATGATTCCAGGATTGGGAATCATCTGATAAACGCGATTCCGCAATTCTGATTCCTAAAACGATTCGGAATCACATGCGTATCCAATAACTATAATCTAGAAGCATGTAATGCCTGAAATCTTGGGTTTTTCTTGAAAAGGTTGAATATACTTTTTAATGATGAGGTGGGATTTATGAAACAAGTGTGGTGACGAAGCATTTGATTTCAGGTCATAGACTTCTTTCTGACCTGACCTTATTTGCCAGTGGAAGTTCAAAGCCGTTTAGTTATCATTAAGGCTTTATACATAGACAATAAGCTAGTGAATGAAAGACAGGTTTTTGTGGGGACAGTGATTTGGGTGAATTATTTGTTACAGAACCTGCTAAAAGATTCCGGCATCCTGTTTCTCTCTCCGTCTTCAGGATTTCCCTTTCTATTCTGTTCTCTTCTCTAATTGCTTAAAAGTTACATCTCTGTGCTTTCATTTTATGCCTCTCTCTCAGATGCACACACACTCATGTGCATGTGCACACAAACATGCACATACATGGGTTGTCCAGGTACCTGCTTTACATTAACAATTTCATAATCTTGTTCCGGAGGAATTTGAGGGGAATATGGGAGCAGGTGCTCTTCCTGAGGTTGAGACATGGTCAAAGGATGTCGCAGTCAGGTGGAGGCCTTTTATGTCAAGCCATGGTGTAGAGAGCATCATGGGTGTTTTAGTCTGTTGATATAGGAGATTGGTGAGTCCTAATTCTTACCAAGGAGGATGGGAAAAGACCACTATTCATGGAACCAGATGGTTTTTATGTCTATGGGTGATAAGCTTGATGACAGAAAGATAGGGATCGAGGAGATTAGCATGTTAAGAGAGGTGGGGGTGCCTATATTTTAAGTAGTTAAAACTCTTAATGGACAATGATTTGTGGCTGAAACTTATCATTCAAGATATTTATATTGAAAACAGAAGATAAGGCTACAAAAAAGTTTATACTGGTCAATCCATCTGTGTGCATATGATTGGAATAGTTAGATGTTGATTGGCACCTTAAAGAAATACAACAACTGGATAAATTACAAACTAACTAGTGCTAAAGGATGCCAAGTTGCGGATCTCTTCCCAAGGTTTTTTGGGGTTTGAATACAGATCCAAACAGGGTGTTCCAAGCCTGAGTGCTTGAGGGAGTCTTGAGAGTGGATTGTCCCAGTAGTGTATGTTCTTATAATTGGCAATGCAATCATTTGGGGCCCAAGTGGCACTTATGAAATTTCAGACTGCAGAGGCTATATTCACATCACCTTTTTATGTAGTGAAAACATCACTGGAATTGAACAACTGCAGGAAGTTCTCTCTTGGGGTTGAATCGCTCTAATCTAATTGGTGAAGTCAACTATAGGCCTCGTCTTCTTTCGCATATTAAGGGATGTTATTTTCTTTTTCCTTTTGTTTTTTTGTACGACTTTACTAATCAGCCTATTCTAGTGTTTTGGAGTTTGGATCCATTTTAGGGCCCTCTTTTGGTTCAGGAGATGGTCCCGATTGGAAAGTGGTCTGGTTGCAATTGATACGGGTTAGAGATTTGGAAAGTCCAACTTTCATAAGATTGATATACTATATCTTTTCATTTACTAATTATTTGCATCCATTTTAGTGGTAGTTTTTGCTGTGTACATGTTGACATGGATTGGTATTGTGAGGAATGTAGTATCCAAATTAGTTTTGGCAAGACGCTAATTCTATCTGCAGGTTATGTTCATGTATGTGATTTTCTTGTTTTTCTTAATAATCAGAATGGTACTGTTGTTTCTCTTTATTCTATTCGTCAACCATTTATGAAATCATTTTTATCTGACACTAATTTAGTGCTATTGTAGTAAGGTGTTGGATGTCTTTATTAAGGCTGCAGAGTACATGGAAATTCCAGTTCGTAGGAGTGATGGGGAACCTCTTCAGAGGCTCTTCACGATTGTTCGTAGTGAGCTGAACCTGGATATGAAGAACATTCGGCAAGAACAAGCTAAGTTTTGGAAGAGGCACCCGTGTCATGTTAAGGTAATCATTACGGCTCCTTTACAAACAACTGCTGTGCTGTCATGTTGGTTTCCAGTTGCATTGGTGTAGTCTTCATTGGTGTAGTCTTCTAAGTTCTGGTTTACATTCTTATAAATTTCCATCTTTTTTGGTATTTGACAGACAGAACTGCTGATTCTCGCCCAATTAACTCGTGAATCAGCAGCTGTCCCTTCAGGTCTTCAGGGTGATTTCAGGCATGTTCTACAACTTGCACCTCGCCTTCTTGAAGAATTAATGAAGGTGTGATATGTTCTTTCTTTCGTCGTACGACATTATGATTTTCTTAATACTTTTTTGTTGTATAGTGCCTGTGACTCCAATTCACATAGTTTAAAGTGGCATCCAATATGGTCCAAAAATTATCTTACAAATTGTTTGTCCTAGCCTTTTTTTCATAAATAGTTAGTTCTACTTTAGATTCTTGTTTCTAAATGTGCATTGTTTGTTTTGGATCGCTTTCATGCGATGACAAATTTTCTGGTGTGGTTGTTAGGGATTTCTTGGATGCTCTCTTGATTAGGCTATCAAGCTTTTTACGCATTATTGATCAAGAAGTATGTGAGTGCCATCTCAAGGAACACGATCTCCTGAGATTCAGCCTTGCAATAGGTGTGCTGTAGCATAGTTACTGGGATCGGGATCGGCACCCTTTCCTGGTTTGGGTCCCGAACAAGGGATCATGAAAGGTTAGAATGTCCCTAGGTTTGGGATCACCATTTGTACACCCTGAATTTTAGGGAGCGAGATCCCAATGTGCTGGGGAGCTCGATCCCAACTTCTAATGATTGAATGATGTGTTCTATAGATCCAAGCTCCATCTGGTGATAAATTGAGGTCCTCGAGTGCACTAACTAGGGTGCCCTGAGTGGGAGTGCAGTCCATATAATATTAAGTACTTAAGGAATTTTTGAAAATTCAAGATTTTATTTAAACATGTAAGAAATTCAATAATCGAATAAGTTAGTTTTTTGTAAATCATTGCCATCCTTCTTTGTTGAATAAACAATACTAAGATAAGTATTAAGTTGAAGCTCAAGGTAACACATTACCTGTTAAAGAATAAAGATTCCAAAAAGACAATATAGCCTACAGCCATTGGAAATTATGTATGAAGAAAATATACAACTGATATGTTATATAATACTTAGAAAGTGAAACTAATTATGCAACATAGCCACTATTTAACATTAAGGTGAATCTCAAGGTTCAAACTCGTGGCCTATAAAAAGAGGGCAAGAGGGATAATAGAGTCTAAGGGAATCGTGATTTCACATTGGTGGAACCTTGGTTCAGTTTACCTATAAACTCTCACATGCATGTGAATTTGGATTCTGTGTAACTGTGTGCTGTAGTCTGCTAACTGTAAGGAACCTTTCTTCTATTGCAAGGCATGGAAAAAATACTATTGTGTATGTAGAAATAAATGGTGTGAGGCAAGTATCAATTCATTTACTGACTGAGGAGTTGAATATAAGTTTTTTTCCATTATTGAAGGGCTGGATCTGTTATTGATGACACAGGTCAGTTTGATTATTGAAAAAAGAGTACGAATCAATGTCCCTTCGTAATCTCTGAATTGAATGAGTGCATATAAGGTCCATGTTACTTATTTTCGAGAAGAATGTGAGCTGTAGCTAGAAAAATTGAAGTGTATGAAGGGGAGGGTAAAAAAAAAGAAAGTGATAACTTTGCAGTTTTCTCAAAAAAAAAAAAAAAAATTGAAGTGTTCAAAATTTGCTAAAAATCCTGGGAGGGTATAGAAGTCGTAGGACTATTCGAGGCATTAGCTTGAACCCTCGATAGATATCCCTATGCAAATTACGAGTGAAGTTTTGTAGTTACTTACTCATGGATAGATATCCATCAAGTTTTGTAGATTATCTGACCCAGGAACATTTGTTGCAATTGATCTTGTGGCAATGCTAAATTGCCCAGACTGAATTGAATAGGGACTGCAACAAATGTCTTGAGAACTCTTCTGTTGTAAATTGGTAATCTCTTCCTAAGCTTCTACTACGTGATGGGTTTGTGTTCCTGAAGGAACTCTAAAGTATAGGAAATGCTTTGTATGCAACTGCCTTCCTATCTCAAATCTAATTGCTGTAATGCTGTGGAACTCCTTAAAGATCAATGTCCATTCGGCCACAAGTGGCCTGGACCATTCTCTTAGAGTCGCGACACCACTGTATCACCATCAGAGGCTCTCAGCTTCCCTTTCTTTCCAAATTTCCTAGAACATATATGGGGTGCATCTCTTCCAACCTAGTCATTGTCTCTCCAAAAGACCAGAAGGGCTTCCGTGGACTATGGCATGACCACCACATCATGAACAGGTTCAGGAAGTGAACATCAAATCCTGCTCATGTAAGGGCGATCCAAGATAAGGTGATAGGGCCTATCCAACATCCTCAAGTCCACTTTCCCCAAATCCACGCCATTGCTAATAGGGCCTATCCAACATCCTCAAGTGTGTTGCGAATAAATCTGGGTTACAGAAGTTCCTTTTTGATCAATGTTACTCGTGTCCCTTGCTGCATCCTTCGCCATGAGAAGGGCCTCTGAATCCTCTCAAGCTTATCTGTCACCCTTGTTGAAATGTGGAACAGGGGTATATAATTATCAGGAATAATGGAGAATATCTTTGATGAGGATAATTGATGGGATGGTCGACAATATAGCTAATATGGGTGTCGACTTCGTGCCACTTTAGTCTTCCTCTCTCCGATTTCTAACACCTTTGTCCACTTTAACAGAGTTTCTTTATGCACGGGCATATGCATACATTAAGAAAGCATGGGCTTGTCTAGCTCATCTTTTCTTGCTTTTTTTTCTTTGGATGACTACAGTAATCCTTTCAGAGTCAATACCAACTTCTGATTTGAGCCAAACGTGTGTTGTTTAGAGTTTATTACCCCTTGAACAGAGGGGACGATACTGGCATCTATTGTTGTAGTGGCATCATTGATCCTGTAATAAAAGTTTTCAAGTCTGTGGGGGCCTATTGGTTTTATGACCTACTGTGAAACTGTGGTGCGGTGAAAACATTTTCACCTTTCCCAGAATTACGATTTCATCGTCTAAGCATTTTCGGTACACTCTAAATTATGTATCTGTGCTCTATTAACCTGTACGGAGGTACACCATTTCTAGCTAAATCACACATTCATATCCCTTTGGTCCATGATCTTCAGTTCTTCAGGGTTACAGGGAAAAATTCTGGAACGAGGACTAAAGGCAGCATCCAACTCCTGCAATGGAGGAGGGGGGCAATTAACAAAATAGTCATGTCCTCTGCGTTTCATGATGAAAATATGCATGATACTGGTTTCTCTAGTCTGTGCTGAGGTGGGCAAACTGTTGGGTTTGAAATGGTCACAAGAGCTGCCAGGCATGCTTATGGACTTGAATCCAATGAACGGCAGATCAATGTGTTGCTAGTGGTGTTATTGGCTCTTGTTTTAGGTCATAGACGAGTAGTGCATCATCCATTTATTGTTATTTCTTGGGTAGATCGGCTGTGGGATCAGAACCTTGCATCATTCATTTATATTCCATAAATTCACTCTCTACTGTTGTTTCTTTCTAAAAGCATCTTCTTAGATGTTTTGAGGGAAATTCTCATTATGTCACCTCGAGCATCCACTGGTAGAATGCCTCCTGCTGTTTAGAACACTTTTTTTTTTAATGGTTTTACAAACTTATATTCTCATTATATCACCTCGAGCATGCTTATGGACTTGAATCCAATCGATGGATCATTATTGAACGGCAGATCAATGTGTTGCTAGTGGTGACATTGGCTCTTGTTTTAGATGATAGACCAGTAGTGCATCATCCATTTATTTGTTATTTCTTGGGTAGATCGGCTGTGGGATCAGAACCTTGCATCATTCATTTAGATTCCATAAATTCACTCTATACTGTTGTTTCTTTCTTAAAAGCATTTTCTTAGATGTTTTGAGGGAAATTCTCATTATGTCACCACGAGCATCCACTGGTAGAATGCCTCCTGCTGTTTAGAACACTTTTTTTTTTAATGGGTTTACAAACTCATATTCTCATTATGTCACCTCGAGCATGCTTATGGACTTGAATCCAATCAATGGATCATTATTGAACGGCAGATCAATGTGTTGCTAGTGGTGATATTGGCTCTTGTTTTAGGTCATAGACCAGTAGTGCATCATCCATTTATTGTTATTTCTTGGGTAGATCGGCCGTGGGATCAGAACCTTGCATCATTCATTTAGATTCCATAAATTCACTCTCTACTGTTGTTTCTTCTTAAAAGCATTTTCTTAGATGTTTTGAGGGAAATTCTCATTATGTCACCTCGAGCATCCACTGGTAGAATGCCTTCTGCTATTTAGAACACTTTTTTTTTTAATGGTTTTACATACTCATATAATTGATGAGATACTTTCTAATATTGTAATGTATTGCGGCTGTGTAGTAGCTGTTCATTTATTTACTGCCTAATGTATATGCATCTTAATGCCCAATTCTTGTCATAATGCATCATCCTGCATCCTTTTGTTATGATGTCTGGTGTCTTTTTTTACCTTGTGAGTTGCTCTTACTATGAATGTTTTTGTACAAAACACATGCTTGGACTGCTAAATTTATTTGTCCTGAGAGGATTTTTTACTGAAAGAACCATCCCTATAGCTTTACCTTTGGATTCCTATTCAAGATCGATCCTGTTCCACTGTCACAAGGTTCATCTTCTGAATGTATATTTTCAGGGGTATATATTTCTATTTATTTATTTATTTTTCTGAATGTGCTAACTTTAATATATATTTCTAACCTTACATTGGACAACCCTGGGAATCAGATCTGGAGTGAATCTTTCTACTGTTTTTGAACTCTCAATTTATGAACTTCGTATATCTATTCAAATTAGTAACTGTTGGAGTCTTACTTTTAATCTTTTGTCTTGCCAGATGGCTATCATTCCACGTACTCCGGAAGGTCATGGGTGGCTGAGACCGGCAATTGGGGTCCTTGAACTGACTCAAAGTATCATCCAGGTTATATCTAATGCTAAAACTGCTCTAATTCAAGTTTCGATGGTTTATACACTAATGCAGGGATGATGGAGAGAAGATGAGAAAGAAAGAAATAAATTAAAAAACAAAGATAAAAATAAAGGGATGAGAGATTATACCCTCTCTTGGGTTAGTGAGGGAGTCCATCCCAAAAGAATATCTCTTCTCAAGATCTAAATGAACTCTTTCTTTTCACTACATTTTCTGATTTAATAGTTGCATATCTATAGAAGAAAATAAACCTAAAACTTGCTCCCTAAGAAACCCTAATCAAATCCTAACCCTTTATCTTCCAATTCTACCCTCAAATCTCTACACTAAAAAAGACACAAATACCCTAAAAGAAAATTGGAAACCGAAAATAACCCAAACCTAAACTTAAACTCCTAAAAATAATAAAGGCCTTGTTTGCATCATTCTCTTAGGGTTGGGAGAAGCTCGACTTGTGTACTTTTTGCTTCTTCAATGAACACATAAATCAAATACTTGATGTGCAGCTTATAGAGGAACTCTAGGATGTCAACCATAATCTTGATTTATTTTTCTAAGCTTCTCATGTAATTTTTGAAAAATCGACCTTGATATCAAAATCATGTGGATGTCCCTCAAATTATAGTTTTTGCGTCAAAATTTACTCATTACATACAGGATTGGCATTGAAAGAAAGGTTTGGGAACAAAACAAAGAAATAGAAGAATTAGATCCAAATGGATTTCCATTTGACAGTAATATCATCACTTCAATTCGGAGTTCTTAGTTACTTTGATCGTATGGATCTTAGTGATCGAATATTGAGCAATAAAATAATTAATTAGTTTCAAAAAGATTGAAATGGCTACAATATGAATCATTGCTTCTTTCCCGAGCTTGAAATTAGCGTTTCCAATGTTCATGGATATTGAATCAATCGAGCAAACTTCTAGCACTTGTTCAACTTTGGGAAGACCTATCACAAAATGTAATATGATAATGGAATAGAAACAAGGATAGGGAACGGGTTACCTACTCCTAACGGTCAAAGCGATAAATCAAATCTCCCCAAGTAGGATTTAAACCCACGACTAGTTAGTCAACAACCGACCGCTCTACCACTAAGCTACTGAGGAACAATGAGAGATTCAATCTCATCGAGTTCAATTCCTGTTCTCAACCCATGACCAATATGGGTCCGAAGCTTCTGGAAGTTCAGGCATTTCTACAAGGTTTGTCTCTTGAAAAAAAAGAAGAAAAAGAAAAGAAAAGAACGCATGTGTTTATGGATTGAATGAGATTCAAGCTAGGGACAAGGTTGAATTTGCCAACGGCATCCTAAATCGATTGTGCAAGTAGATTTGTCTCTAAGGTGAAAGTTGGCATTGGACGTACGTGATTGTGAGCACCCTCTTCTGGATGAATGGTGTTTTCCAACTGTTGTAACTGCGGGTTCACTTCACTTTAAGTTCACGAATCTCACTTTAAATATCTTTCATGCCTGTGTTTATATCTTTCATAATTTGTGGCAATAGATCATCGATTGCAGGAGTAGGTTTTGGTGGTATTGCGATGGTCGAATCTTGTAGGCTTTGATACCAAATGTGTTTTGGGTAAATTATTGGGAATGACGAGCCCTTACCCTTTTAATCAACACAAGGGAAATGTTACATCACAGAGGAGAACATGTACAAGAAATTAAATAGACCTTTAAAGGGGGACATTGGCATTGTCCATCGAAATGGAGTGAGAAAATCAAGGGGATGGGCCTGCCAAACTGTGGGTTGAGCCATGAATGCTGCCTGCTTAGCCAGGCAATCAGTAGTCAGATTGGCCTCTCGGAATACATGCAATATCTGCCACTAGTGATCTGCGAAGGAGGAGAGCGTTTCCCTACAATTGGACAAGAGGATGCAAACCCTCCATGGGGGAGAGCTGTGGTAGGTGAGTGAGTCAGCTAGCAACTTGGAGTCACTCCCTATGATAGGAGGGCAGCAATCTATCTTATGCGCCAAGGAGATGCCTCGATCCAAGGCGTGGAACTCAACAACATTATTGGAGCTGGTACAAGAGGGACAACAAAGGCCACTACGAAGCCACCTATGTCATTTCTGATGATGCCCCCACATCCAACGGTGCATGGGTTGCAAAAGGATGAGCCATCAATGTTGAGCTTAAAATACCCTGTGGGAGAGAGAGACCATGCAATCGGGATTGAGGTGGAGGGGGGGTCGCTATTTCCACTTGAGCGTGAGCCTTGTGGAAATATGAAGCTCAAAGGGGTGGAAAGCCCAACCCTTCCCTTATGTTAACTTGCTCACAAAGTGAATCATGGGCCCAAGGAGGTGCTTACTAGAGGTCATTCTCCCCTCATGAATACATGCATCACGCTTGGCTCACAAGTGCCAGACAGTGGTGGAGAAGTTGGAGGTCTAGATGTTCTTCATGATATTGGATCTGAATTGGAGCTCTAGCCACTTTGCCATCATCATGATTGCAGATTGCTTGAGTGGTATGCATTTTCCAAACTTGCAAAATATGGATCTCCAAAGCACCTGTGAAAACACACATTGCATAATGATATGGTTAGTGGGCTCTTCCTCTTGAAAGTAGAAGGGGCATCTAGTGACCAAAGGGAGGCCCCTAAATTGGAGAAGGCTCGTGGTGGGCAGTGGGGAGTCCAAGGCGAGCCAAGTAAACCACTTTGGTCTAGAATGGCATGGGGTTTTCCAGAGGACCTTGAAAGCTATGGGCACATTTTGTCTGATGTGGTCCCAAGCGCCGCTCATGGAGAACTTACCTTTGGCTGAGTGAATCCATACCAGCTGGTCCAGAGAGGAGTAAATAGGGAGCATAAGCATATATGAATAAATCTTCTCTCATGCACAAATAAGTGGGGTAGAGGTAGGTATCAGAAGAGTCCATCTTTGCGGTGTACCCTCAATGTAATATGAGAACTTGGATTTTGCCAGGTTCCCAAATGTCTTGTGAGCGTCAGCGCCATATAGCTCCCATATGATGGGAGACAAGATGGGAAATAAATAAATAAATAACAAAAAAAAAAAAGATAAAGGGATAAGAGACTATTCCTTCTCTCAAGGCCTACATGGGAGTCTACCCCAAAAGAAGGATCTTTTCACATGATATAAAATATACTCTTATTGTCTTCACTACTTTTTTTGATCTAATAGTTACATATTTACAGAAGAAAATAATCTAAAACCTAACTTGTTCCCTAAGAAACCCTAATCAAATCCTAAACCTTCTTCTTTATTGAAAAATAAACTTGCAATTCTACCACTCAAATATTTACAGCCAAAAAGACACGATTACCCTAAAGGAAAACTAGAAAACAAAATAACCCAAACCTCCTAAAAAATAATGAAAGCCCTGATTGCGTCATGTAGTCACTGCTGATAGATACTTATTTCACTAATTCATCGAACATGAAATGTTGTGCGACCATATTTTTTATTTTTATTTTTAATTGTTCACGTTTGAAAGATGGCAAAGGTGCGCAATTTTTATCCAGTGATATATTTCATGAGCTGCAATGTATAAATGTACTGCAAGTGTTACTGCTGGGGGTGCACTCATTCTGTTTTTAATTGTGACGGTTTTACATGTTTTCTATGTCACATGACAACTCTGTAAGATGATTTTTACTTTAGGTATTTCATCGATTAGGTGCTTCAAAATATATCAGTGTTTATTACTGATTGAAGACTATACCTTCAGTGATTTTAGCTTTCTGCATTAAGTGCCTTTTTCTTAACTTCTTTGGACTTCTTGTTATGACTACCATCATCTTTCATTTTGTTCTCTTAGGATTGGGGAAGGTCATTTTTATTAGTTTTCCATTTGGTCTTGATGAATTGTTGCGCTCAAAGCATTTCACAAAAGTTCATTTTGCAGGGTGGTTCAGGATAGATCTCACTGAAAAATCATAATTCAAACATAGACAATTTTTCCTTATCAAAGAGATGATAAAACAGCTGTTAACCAGAAATTTACCAAAATTTGGTAAACTTTTAAGAAGGCAGCCCAAATTTGCCATTTCTTAAAAACTATGAGAAGTTCATGTTTTTGAATACTTGATTGATATCAGCAGATTCACTCATAATTTTAGGGGAAATTGACTGAAATTGACAGTGGTATCTAAATGTTCCCTCCAAAGTCATGACCACTGGCTTGCTGAAACCTAATCTTTCTTGTGCAGCTTGATGTCGTTAACAAAGATTTGCCATATGTTATTTCAGTATTATTTATTCCCGTAAACTATTCTGCTTTGAAATTTGTTGGCTGGCTATCATTGCCGATAATCATTCCCTGTTATGTTGAACTACAAGAAACTAATGGGTTACTCTGTTGATGCAGGCTGTTCCTCTCAGTGAAAGAAAAGCAGCTGGAGGGTCATCTGAGGGCAATGCTCCCTTCTTGCAGCTGCCACATTTTAGTGAGGCTGTTATAAAAAAGAGCTTCCGCAAGGTAAATATAAATGTTGCTCATTTATCATTTATAGAGTGAAACATTTTTTGTTGTTGTTGTTGTTGTTTATGGCAATACAAACCCTTGCAGAAGATGGTCCACAAATTTTGTAAAGCCACTGCTCTATGGTATAAAATAAAGGGCGTCACATCAAAATAATGCCAGTTGTAGCACTAATGGCCCCATCTTTTAATTCTATTTAATGGTAATGAGTACGTTTATAACTGGCCCTTAATGGCTGTTGTATAACAATTTAATATCCATAAGCATGGGTGTCAGGTGAGATTTTAAAATGAAAATGGTGCGAATATTTGTTTGAATGGTGCTTGCTCTAATGGGCATTAGAATGCCATAAGTAATTAATCCATATTGAAAATTTTTGTTATTGTTCTCTTGTCCTGGTACTGTTTTTCCCATGATTTTCTCACTGTAATGAGCCCTTACCTATACGTAATGGTAATAGACACTACCTTTCAAATGACTGAGATTTCCCATTTTTTAAACCTTATGCTACTACCCCAAAAGAAAAGTATACTTGATGGTTAAAAGGGTGATCGCCTTCCAACAAGTAGGTTGGACAGTGATTTTGAAGAGCAGGAAGTACAGTAGAAATAAAGAAGTGCAATGTGGCCCCAACCTTCCTGTCATCTCTGTTTAAGTAATTGATAGAATGTCCCTTATAACCATGTTGCTATATCGACCATGTGGAGATCATATTATATCCTTCTATTTAACAGAGTCACTTACTGAACCCATTTCCCCAATCTTCTCTTATTGCAGAAGGTCCGAACTTTCCAAGAGTTCCAAGAAATGAGCCCACAGGAGCGATCCGAGTTTTTGACACAGGCAGCAGGCTTTTCTGATTCTGAGGTTTGTGATGTTGAATCCGTCCTCAAAATGATGCCCTGTGTTGCAGTAGAAGTGACATGTGAAACCGAGGGTGAGGATGGCATCCAAGATGGTGACATTGTCACAATGCATGCGTGGGTCACTATAAAACGGGGCAATGGCCTTGTCTCTGCTCTCCCTCACTGCCCTTACTTCCCTTTCCAGAAGGAGGAGAACTACTGGCTCCTCTTGGCTGATCCGGTGTCAAATGGTGTGTGGGTCTCTCAAAAGGTGAGCTTTAGTTTTGAAACTTTGTCATGATGGCTGATATAACATAATGCTGCTTGTTCAATATAACATCTTAAGGCCATTTCCTAAGGCTTCAGTATGACCAGGATGCATTTCAGTAGCATATTGACAACATTGCGTTGGTGGTCAATGCTCCACTGTTTACAACCTCTCTTTTTCCTCCTTTTGCATTAATGCGGTCATGCAGAACACCATAGTAAGCAGAGCTGTTAATGCATTCGCCTATGCAACTCGCAAGGAAGTCTAAGCTAGGCTATCTACCAAGGTTTATAATACACTTCCATAATATTAACAAAGTCTTTGAAACTCTAGGTGAGCTTCTCAGATGAGGCGGCGGCCCTTGCTGTAGCCACCAAGGCCACACAGGAGGCCCTTGAGGGGTCAGGGATAGGCCCACGTGAGGTGAATGCTCAAGTGAGGGCAGCAGCCGAGAGAGTGAAGAGTGGAGCGAGGCTCGTGGTGACCAAGTTTCAGGCACCTTCTGAGGGCACCTACAATCTGATGCTCTTTTGTATGTGTGACTCATGGATTGGATGTGATAAGAAGGTGGGAGTGAGAATGAAGGTTTTGAAGAGGAGCAGAGCAGGTACGAGAGGAGGGGTGGTGGCTGAGGAGGGCCAAGTGGTGGAGGATGGAGGGGAGGAGGAGGAAGAAGAGGAGGAGGTATATGATGACTATGAGAGTGAGTATAGTGATGACGAGGAGGAGAAGAGCAAGGACAAGGTACAGGCGAATGGGCATGTTCGTGGAAAGGGTGGTGCGTCATCATCTTCAAGTGGGGAGGGATCAGACAGTGAGGGGTAATAAGGGCTGGAGAGAGTTTTGGCTGTCATGATCTTGTATGCACTTTGTTTCCTCTCTCTCATTTTGCTTTTCAATTTAATAATGTCTGGCACTATGAATGGAGATCCTCACGTGCTTTGATTATTGTTGTGGTTTGTTTTCCCCTGTGATTGGGAGGTTCATCTTTTGTTGACCGATGGACGCAACTTTATAAGAAAAAGAGGAAGAAAGAAAAGGAATTGTATATGCCCGCCAATTCTCAAGAGACTGATCCTAGTCTTTTTCTATTATCAATTTTCCTGTTAATTAGTGTCCTTTGTCTGCTATTTCCTTGCTTCATTCTTCTGCAGAGGTCCAGCAATGGGCAGGGTGACCTTTTAGCGTTACTGGGTCATGATATATGTGGCTTGGCTCGGGCTCGATAAGAATCAAAGCCAAAAACATCAAGTCTGGGCTCAGCCCCGGCTTTAGCCGGATTGAGTTGCATAGATACTGCCTGCCCGGCTTTTCTTTTTTGGATAACGGTGCGAGTGGAGGGTGGAGAACATTTTGTTGAGGCATCAGCCCTCCCCAACCGCCGATGCCCCAACCCCGTTCCCATCGTCCGATTATTGGCCCCTATTCCCATACGAGACCCCATTCCCATGTGTTTACACCTGGGGATTTATTTTTATGCATCTGCGTAAGGTGTACTCCTACATTGTTGTCTATATTTAAGGGATAATATATGCAGGCATGTGTGATCTACTATAGAAAATAAGATTACCTATGGGCACAAAGAGGTTACCAGCAACTCTGATTGTTGGATGTGAAACTGGGCATATGAGGTGTGTCACTGACTGGGTGCAGAAGTCTTAAAAAAAAAAAAAATTAAATCGGCAGTGCTATCTAAATTTTTGGGTTTTATATTTGACGATTAAGGGTTGTTATGCCCTTATACGACAGGTAATTAGCCGTCGATTATAAAGTTTTATTTTAGCTTAAGCTTTGAAAATCCAAGGTTTGGAAGACGGCTAAGAAACATCAACAACAGCAATTATAAAGAAAACCGACTCCTCCAGTGCCGGTACATCAGCAGTGTATAACATAGTTTATTAAATAATCATTCTTAATCCTTGGTGGTTGTATTACGGGTAAAGTCAACAACAAAGAGAATGTAAGCTGAGCAGGGGCAGTGGAGGTATTGTCTTTTCTTTTTGAAGAATTTGGTTTTCAGTTGTATGGCTATTCTCAGTGGCATTAATTTTTCCTTCCTATTCCACTGAAGAGCAGGTAATCATGGAGGCCCTATGGCTTCTGTGGATCTTTTAAGGTGCATCTTGTGAGAGGCCAGAGGCTCAAGGGTATTGACAAAGAAAGAATTCTAGGCCTATTTCAAGTGAATATTGGTCCACTTGCGAGATATTATGTACTACGGTTTTGTTTTGTTTTTTTTGGGTAGTTCAGCAATAGGAATCGAACTTGAGATGTAGCGTTGCTAATATTAACTACTAACTACTTAAGACTGAATCCGATTTCTTAGGTTTTGCTATTTAAGCGGAGCCCAAGCTGCCCAAGCTCCATTAAGATGCCTCTGGCTATTATTGCTACAATGGACTCAGATGTGGAAGGAGACTCAGCACAATGTTATGGTGGACCGAAAAAGAAGTGACTTTACCTTACCACAATGGACTCAGATGTGGAGGGAGACTCAGCACAATGTTATTGTGGACCGAAAAAGAGACTCAGCACAATGTTATTGTGGACCGAAAAAGAAGTTACCTTGAAAACCTTGCTCGCTTATTTTTCATGGGATTCTCTTTTTGCCATTGTATCAACACAATTTTTTTACATGGTGGAGAATCAAAACTCTTTTTTTCGGTGGTTGCAATCGAACTTGAGATGTAGCACTGCCAAACATCAGTTGCTATCCACTTAAGCCCAAGCCTAATTCCCATAATCAAAACTTCATAACGGATTCTCTGAGGAGTTTAGAGAGGAGATATCTTCATCACACTACTATGCCCCTAGATTTGTTCTTCTAGTGATGCTAATTTTTGCAGTTATTGAGATATGCCATGGCCATTTTCTGAACATATATAGTTGTGATAATAGCAATTCATTAGAAAAGAAAGTCCATTATACGTAATGCCTTTGCAAAGGGTTTCAAGTTTTACAAATGAATAAATGCTGAGAAATGGAAAGGGAATATTACCTGGTTTTCTTCTCCATTTCTCCTTTAGTTTCGCTTTTTGTCCTTTTTTTAATCTTTTTCATTGTACCTTTTCTTTTTTCCGGTAAAATGCCTCCTTTATTACCAAAAGATTACATGCACCAACAAAAAGCACCTAGAGGATAAGCACCTAGAGCATTCACTTCCTCGTGTAAAACCCTATATATTTTGGGAATTGGGAATTGGGAATTGGGAATGTAGCCTCCTCAACATAGTGACTAACTTTAAAAAGGTGAACAAAAAATTTACGGAAACAACAATGCCCTAATAAGGACTCTCTCATGTTTTTCCTTCCAATTTATGCATTTAGGAATTCAAAATCATCATCTATAACTTTTTCCAACTATTTGGGGTTGGCAACATGAATCTTAGTTTGCCATTCTACTTTATCAAAATCATCATCCATAACTTTTTCCAACTATTTGGGGTTGGCTACATGAATGTTGATTTACCATTCTACTATATAAAAATCATCATCCATAACTTTTTCTAACTATTTGGGGTTGGCCACATGAGTCTTTGTTTGCCATTCTACTGGGCTATATTTTCAATGACAACATAAGTCTTCATATATTTTCTCACTACTTTAGAAATTCAAGATACAAATTTTTAAATGAAAACTCAGGTGATTATGAAGTAGATCTTAAGATTTCATATATATATATATATATATAGTGCTAG